CTTTGTCGGTTTGATTGGTCTAAAAAGCGGCAACATACAGCTATAAGGACAGTTTGCTCTCACACGTTCTACATTTATAGTCACACGACACACACACACCGGAACTTGGCGCGCCCCACCTGTCACGTCTCAATTCCCCACCAGTGGGTCGCGCCACACACTTTGAGAACCGCGGCTTTAGGGGCTCCGTGCTCAAAAAAGAGCATGAGAAAAAAAAGACACAGAATTAAATCTTGGCCTAAACTGACTTGCGGAACAAAGTAAAAAAAAAAAAATGTATGGAAACTGTTCTGCCATCACAGCAAAATTTTCTTTGAGACAGGCTAAGTGGAAGTAGGCTACCAGTATCATATATTTCAAGGGAAATTCAGAACAACAAAGGCCAAATAAATTCTTTCATTTTGCCGCTGCATGGTTACCAGACTTGCCGGTAATCACATGTGTCTTTGAGATCAGAACGAGTGTGTAAGGTCCCTACGATCTCTGTGTAAGGATGGGTCTTCCCATGCTAATGGCTTGGATGCGTTAGCAAACATTGCCCCCCTGGGGAACTTGTATGTTACTATCACAAGTTGTTGAGGACTGCCCAGGAACATCGTTTGTTCTAATTATAGCCCCGGCCTGTATACGAGTCCGGCCATAATTAGAGACCCGGCCGCTAATGGAATACAGGCCAATATTAGAGGATTTACGGTATTCGGGCAGATTGGCGTTTCTAGTTATTACACTGACATGAATTTTTGCCATCAAAATATGCATATTTTTTAATGTAAGAGAGGTAATAAGGCCTTGTCCTGGAGCCCAATAACACTATTGGCTGGAAATTTTGATTTTCAAAGTATTTCACTGAGTGCCCTATAAAGGGATAAAAATAAATCTAAAATGTGTAAGTTCAAAACGTGAGTTGATTGAGGAACGTTAAATCACTCAAAGTATTACTTTACAGGTAACAAAACTGGTATAAATATATAAAACTACATCTACAAAACACAGGGTTAAAATCTGTCCTACTATTGCAGAGGTCACAGATTAGCGGACCAGGGTCCCAATCCAGACCCACCTTCATTGCTGATATAACAGGATGGAAACTGGCTGTAAGCAAGACACAACAATTAAGACTTCCTGAAAGATGAGTGTGTAAACTTTCTGGTAAATCCCGTTCTAATGTAAAATATGACAGATTACTGCATTAAAACATTTTTAGTATACGACATGCTATCACACATAAACAATTTTNTTCTAATGTAAAATATGACAGATTACTGCATTAAAACATTTTTAGTATACGACATGCTATCACACATAAACAATTTTAGAGAATTTGGAAACTGTTGCTCTTTATTTCCCAAAGATATGGGAGGAGGAGAGGAGAGAATGGATGTTTCAGCTGCCTGAATCAATCTGTTCCCCCTCTATAACATGGAAAGAAATTAATTAACCTGCAAGTCTTTAACTTTAACAACAAACCCTGTGGATTTGGTGATATTTGATCATTATTTGCCACAGTTATGGACGAAAATCATATATTTTAGCCACCTGAAATAATCTGTTCCCCCTTTGTTGATCCTCATTGAATGAATTTTCTGTTTAAATGTTAATCTAACAATTTACAAATATTCCCAAAACCACTGGACTTTGTCTTTCAAGTTTGAAGATGTTTTGCTTTCCATCCAGAAAATATCTTAAGTAATGCTACTCCAGACATTTTGCATTGAGAATTGAAAATACATTAGATAAAACTCCTCAAACCAACAGATATATTTATTTAAAATATTTTGGATTTCAAATTATAAAATAATGTTTCAAACATAGAAAAATGACAGCATAATGAAGACTTATTCATTACTGGGACTATTTTTATGAAAATGGCTTTTTATGTAAATAGCTTGTAGCACTTTAAAGGGGCCTTTGCACTTTATTAAAAATCAGCTTGGTTATCACTAGGACACTTTATTTAGCATTGCAATTTAAGCATAGATTTTCACATAAAGAACAGTTTGCACACAAGGTTTTTAAAATATTTATTGAATATTGTGATTATTCTTGGTTATTTTGGCTAATGAGCCTTTGCATTGGTTTGCCCTTGTAAAAATATACAGTAGATTGGGTATAAAAGCTGCCAAATTAGGTCGCTTTAGCCAAAAGATTGTCTGAACACAACTTCCAACCCGATTAAAAACCAAAAAATGTGGAAAAACTATGTTTGAATAAAAATGACGAACACCTTTCCTTATACTCATCATTGCCCAATTTGCACAAACACTTTCTCTGTCTTAACTTATTTCACTAAAATGGCAGGAAAAACTGCACCTTAATTGAAAAAAGGAAAGAAAAGAAATACCATATTTTATTACGAACTGTAGTTCAGCACTCAACCAGTAGGTGGTGACATGTTCACATAGAGCCTCATGAACTGTGGGGATCGGTGAAGCAATTTGGCCAAATGGTTCAATGCCTCATGAGGCCTCATCTCTCACCAGACAAATTCTCCCCCGTGGATCCAGACACCATTTATAGGTTCTGGGAGAGACCATGGACAATATAGGGGGAGTTGTGCACATAGTTTGTGGGATGTCTATAGTGTTG